AAACTTCTGTATTTGAAATCAGCTTTGTGCTATAACTAATACTGCATCAAACTATCTGTGATGACACAAAGTATGTGGAATTGACAGAAGTGTATTCTAATGCTTATGGGGTTTTGTTATGCTGCAGCAATTTAGAGCTATGGGAAGATTGTCTCATTTTTAAAATAAAGCAACTCCGGAAAGAACTATTTCTATTGTCGATTGCTGAAATGTCTCAAGACTGTAGAGTAACAGCCGTAATTCCGTAGCTATTTCCGTTTCTGGGATAAAGTAAGGCAAGATAAACTACTAAGTAATCTCTGACCCTCTGAAAAGCAGATTTAATGACTGCATTAGGTAATGGAAAAAGAGTAGATGAATAAAAGACCACGCAAAATAGCCATTTGAACCATCACGGTTTTGACTGTGTCCTGTATGTGATGCTAAAGTTACTGCTTCCTAAAATTCTATCTTCGTACAAAGTCTTAGAATTGTAAGCAAGACTTTAAAAAAAAGCTGAATTTAGCTAACTTTCCCTGTAATTATTGGCTCCTGGCTTTATTTTTAAATCTAAAAAACAGATTGTACTTGGTTTAAAAAAAATTACCTGACTCTATGTCCCATGGATCTGAGTACTCCTCCCTCTAGTCTTCTCCCTCAACATCCTATTATCAATAATGCAACATTATGTCTGAATCCTGGGTTTCAATCTCAAGACTGAAGTCAACTGTGGCCATGCATACAGAGATTTGCTTCCCTGTGCATGCACACAGCTTTTTAATCTTTGGGGTGGAGAGGCCTTATGCCTAAGACTGAGCTAGAGAAGAAACTGTGAGGGGAAGGTGTTGCAAAATGATTCTTCACGCTTCTCTTTTGTCCAGTTTTTAAAGCCCATGTAGCTAAATTATTTCTGACAATTTTTGAAAGTTGTTCTTAGACTCCTATGAGTCACATACTTCAGCAGGTCCACGCATTCCACAGTACACTGTGTAAAAAAACACTAGTCTCAGGCTGCTCTGGTTCAAAAGGAGGAGGGGGGAGAGAGGATTTATTAAAAGCAGTACATTTTTATTTCTTCTACTCTGTCACAACAAAGTAAGACTTAATATTAATTATGTCTGTTCTTCTGCTTCCTTTTTTTCTGCCAAAGGTTTACTAAAAGGTTCAGTAAACTTTCAGCAGCGGAAGAAGATGAGGAAATATATTTAATAAAGGTTTGCTTTCCCATAACAGAGCAGAGGAAGTCAAAGCGTACATTTTCTTTTCATAATAAATGTGTCTTTCTCTTCTCCAAAACCTTGTCGATCATAGAACTTGGGACTACAGGTAAAAAGAGAGCTCTCGGATAACTTGACAGTGGAGGGTTGAGATTAGGTTAAAACATCCTGAAATTCAGTTTTTAAAAGATTAAAGCATGATGGAACCTGAGATCTTCTGCACACAAAGCATAGGGGTAGTTTCCCTTTGTGACTCTTCCTGCTTGGATGGCTATCTCCAGAGGGTACCTGGGGTTGTTCGGCTCCATGCTGCTTTCAATGTGGGGTTGCCACAGGGCTCAGTGCTGTTCAACATCTACATGAAGCCACTACAGGGCTTTGTTGTGCATTTTTTTACCCTTCTAATTGCATTGCTGTGTTTTAGCCTTCTATAGTTTTTAATTTTGTTTTAATGTGAGTCACTTCAAGTTATTTGGTAAGAGAAGAACCATCAGCATCAGCATAAAAATAATTGTCAGCAGTATGTTGATGATATGTGGCTCTGTTTCTCCTTTACACCTGCAGGTGTGGCACTGGATATGCTAGGCCAGGCATAGGCAAACTCAGCCCTCCGGATGTTTTTGAGACTACAATTCCCATCATCCCTGACCACTGGTTCTGTTAGCTAGGGATGATGGGAGTTGTAGTCCCAAAACATCTGGAGGACTGAGTTTGCCTATGCCTGTGCTAGGCCAATGTTTGACATCGGTAATGAACTGGATGAGAGCCAATAAACTGAATCTTTATCCCGATAGGACTGAGGTGCTGTTAATGGGTGATTCCCTTGGATGGGGTTAGACTCCCTCTGAAGGAGCAGATGAGCCACGTTCCTAGATGTACTGTACAAGTCTTAAAGTGCCTCATGTTCACTAACTGATGTGCATATGATTGCATCAAATCAGCTGCTTCCAGCAACTACTTCTACATATAAACCTTCCAGTGTGATCTACTGACTGGTCATAAAACACAGAGGCTATTCTCAACAGGGCTTGCTTCCCACCTGTGCCCTAAAATGATAGAGAAACAGATGCTTCACAGCATGCAATAACAAACATAGTCATCCTAATCTCTCTGCTTTGTGTTCTTATGATGCAATTGTGAATTATGTTGTTTGCATTTGTAATTATAGAGCTGAACAGATGGTGGAAGGCTTATTTCAAGGCAACACATCTACTAAAATAGCCTAGTCTGGGCTCCTAAGCAATTGCTAACTGTAAGCCTGAATCATTAGAATTGGGGATTATTTACTTTCTCTTTTTCATATAACCAAGGGAAAGAGGGTTTAGCGAGATGGGAAGTGTGAAAAACAGTGGATGTTATTTAAAATTGCAGCAGCCAGGTGGAACTGATTTCTACAGTTGTATATTTGTACCTTAAGAAAATGTGAGCCAGGAAGATTATCGAGCCATAATACTTGACACCAACTTTTTTCTAGATTTCTTTTTTAAATTATATTGCACCTTCTGTCCCATAAGTTTCCCCAGAGCCCCAGTTCAAATTCAGAAGTGGGGTAGGAGACTATCTAGTTAAAACTTGAAGTCGGGGACCTGTTTTAAATTGCTGGCGGTCGGGAGCAAAGACTTTCGCCCACAGCCGGCCTTCAGAAGAGGTCCTGGACCTCTTCTGAAGGCCGGCGGGGGGCAAAAGTCTTTGCTCCCCCCCGCCTGCCTTCCCGGGACAGCGGAGACTTCTCCGCTGCCCCGGGCGATCTTAAAATGCTGGCGGGCGGGAGCGAACGCTTCGCTCCTGACCCCCAGCATTTTAAAATCTTTGGGCGAGTGTCTGCAAGCCTCGCGCACCCGGCAGGAGGTCCCGCCGGGTGTGCGAGGCTTGGGGCGGCAGCCTGTCACCCGAAGCACGGGGAGCCCTTCGGAGAGCTCCCCTTGCTTTGGGCGAGTGTCTGCAAGCCTCGCGCGCCCGGCAGGAGGTCCCGCCGGGTGCGCGAGGCTTGGGGCGGCAGCCTGTCGCCCGAAGCACGGGGAGCCCTCCGGAGGGCTTCCCCTGCTTCGGGCGAGTGTCAGCAAGCCTCGCGCACCCGGCAGGAGGTCCCGCCGGGTGTGCGAGGCTTGGGGGCGGCAGCCTGTCACCCGAAGCACGGGGAGCCCTTCGGAGAGCTCCCCTTGCTTTGGAGTGTCTGCAAGCCTCGCGCACCCGGCAGGAGGTCCCGCCGGGTGCGCGAGGCTTGGGGCAGCAGCCTGTTGCCGAAGCACGGGGAGCCCTCCGGAGGGCTTCCCCTGCTTCGGGCGAGTGTCAGCAAGCCTCGCGCACCCGGCAGGAGGTCCCACCGGGTGCGCGAGGCTTGGGGCGGCAGCCTGTCACCCGAAGCACGGGGAGCCCTCCGGAGGGCTTCCCCTGCTTCGGGCGAGTGTCTGCAAGCCTTGCGCACCCGGCAGGAGGTCCCGCCGGGTGCGCGAGGCTTGGGGCGGCAGCCTGTCACCCGAAGCACGGGGAGCCCTTCGGAGAGCTCCCCTTGCTTTGGGCGAGTGTCTGCAAGCCTTGCGCGCCCGGCAGGAGGTCCCGCCGGGTGCGCGAGGCTTGGGGCGGCAGCCTGTCGCCCGAAGCATGGGGAGCCCTCCGGAGGGCTTCCCCTGCTTCGGGCGAGTGTCAGCAAGCTTCGCGCGCCCGGCAGGAGGTCCCCGGAGCTTGCGGGGCGGGAGGTGGGAAGAAGGGCTTTTTTTCCCACCGCCAGCCTTCAGAACAGCCTTCTGAAGGCTGGCAGTGGGAAAAAAGCCCTTGTTCCCCCCCCCAGCCTTCAGAAGAGGTCGGGGGACAGACTGTCCCCGGACCTGGTCTGAAGGTGGTTTCCCTAGGAACGCATTAATTGATTTTCAATGCATTCCTATGGGAAACCATGCATCCTTAGTTATGTTTTTACCTACAGGTTAGCAGAAAGTACCCATATGCCTTTAAGCCATTCCCTCCCTCTCTTGGGGGATAAGTCATGTATCTGTGTGGCTGGTGATTTCCTGTCCTGTTTGGGTGCTTTTCTCTCCAACCACCCAAAAATAGAGGTTCAACACTGCACTGCTTCCATCTTGGTTTGTGTACTGATAGCAGAAATAGGTGTCTAGATTAAGCCTGATTGCTACCTCCTTCCCAATAGAAAATCAGCATGTGATGATGTGTTGGTGCAGTTGTAGAACTCTGGGCTCAATTTGAGCCTCTTCCCACAACAAATGGCCATCATATTTCAGTACTGCCATCCAGACTGGGCAGTGCACCAGAGAGCTTGTATCAGCCTGCATACCAAGCAGAGTTGGCCTGTCAAAAGTGCTGCTACTAAATTTTGGAACTGACCAGGTTGCAAGGACAATATTATTAAGGTGGGTTCCCTTATGGGTCCGATCTTTTGAGGAGATGTGTCCACAAGTTGTCTATATAGGAGAGAGTGGAAGTTTGTGTTTGTACTAAATAGGATAAAGATTTTTGCTAATCTGTACAGCTAACTGTGTCTGATAATTGTGTATCCAAATGATGCAGGATAACTAGAAATACTTGGTTTTCCTTTTAGTCACTACATTTCAAATTAAAGTCATTCTCCACAGCCAAGTAGTTTAGTGCACATGTTCTTAGGTCACATCCACATGATACATTTAAAACACTCTTATATCGCTTTAACCAGTCATGGCTCTTCCCCCCCCCCCAAAAAAATGTAACTTGTTAAGAGACACGCTGCTTAGGCATTTCAGAAAGGCTCTCCCCGCCCCTGGCATTCCTTGCACTTGTTCTAATGTGGTCTTTCCCTCCCTTCCTCCTTTTCTGTAGGTATACAGTCTTGTACAATGGGCAACCCCAGGAACATGACAAGCTTCCGATCCATAATGACCCAGAATCCCAAGAGTCCTGCTTCTGACTAAGGTCCCAGAATGTGATCTGCCATGCAGGACAGTTGCAAGATGATGGTGCACCAGGAACCTATTGCCAGATCAATGTTGTCTGCATTGCCATAGTGCTCTCCTCTACTGATTTGACATCAGCAGCAACAGCAAGGATGTGCTTACCAGCCGGAAGGATTAGGCAGTCTGCAGAGAGGAGGAAGGAAGTCCTTTTTTTTGTTGCTGCGGAGTGATGCCTGGAAAAGTCATAGTGCTTTGCATGTGATGCGCAAACAGTAAGCAACAGATGTGTCCGTACACATCTCTCTGTCTCTGTCTCTCTTTTGTATTGCTGTGTGGCAACAATATGAATCTTCTCCCAGAATTTGACTTGAAGTGCTAATATCAAACCACACTTTTGCTTAACCAAAAAGAAACAAGGAACTGATACTATTTTTCTCAGCTGTTTTTAATTGTGAGCTTTTACTCAAGAAATGTACTCCCCCAGCTGTGCAAGAAGAAAAGCGGCAGTCACGCTATGCATGTTTCCCCACCCTAGTATGTCTCCTGGCCAAAATATGTTGAGGAGCATGAATAGCCCAAAGAGAACTACGTTGTGGCCTAGGGATATGGAACTGATTGCGGTATGAAGTCCTGCAGCTCCCACCAAACTGATCTACTGTGCACAATGTGAAGATTAAACGATGAACAGTCACATATTCCATCACTAAGATGTCTCCATCTGCCCCCTCACACGTTGTCAGTGAGATCTTCATCTGGACAAACTTTGGGCAGTGCTGCTACGAAGGAAGAACGGGCCAGGAGGCAGAACCCTTAAGAAAGGAATAACTCACCTGTAATAGTTCACTAAGTGCCATCTTGACGTGCGTGTACATTCGACCACCCTTTATAGCTGAAGAATGTGTTTGGAAAACTGATTGACTCATTTACTTGCCCCATTTTGCCAAAAGCTGGCTCTGTGGCTCAGGGACTGTGTGTGATGGACCAGTAGCTACTTGTGTGTCTGAGGGTTTATCAGTATTTGCTGATGACCCCAGGCAGTAACAGGAGCAGAGCCCTCAGTTAGGGAGTAGGCAGGCACCCAGGTGGGAATCCAGGTACATGATGTAAGACAGGGAAGAAGGCACTAGAGGCAGTTGCAGTGCCAACAGCTGCTGCTTACGTGGGAAGGGTGGAACAAGTAAATATGCCTTCTGGAATGGCCATCTTGGTAGGAGACGGGTTGTTCAGAATGATGAGGAAGTCCCAGGATTAAGGCTCTATTGAGCTAGGCAAAGATTCATTGGCTCCCTAGGCTGGGACAGCTGCCTGAGTGCTGTGTCAGCTGGTGGGACCTGTAATGCTGTTTATGTGGTACCCACAACTCCTTCAGTAGAGATGCTGCCTTGGTGGCAAGATGTTGGAGCCTGCTGGAGGTCCTGGTTTGAGACCCCTAGCACCTTTGCAGGGTTTTTTTTTCTTTTCTAATGCTTTATTGGAACTTCAGATATTTTCCCTGTGCAACTGTCCCTCAAAAGGATGTCAGCCATGCTTATGTCAGCAGTTTCCTGCATGCAGGTGTTACTGCATTCCTTATTAGTGGTAGCTCTGCTTTTCTTTGCATGTTATGTTTATCAGCTTTGCTGTAGACCGAAGGACTCTAGGAGTTTGATTTTCACATCATGAGAAATGTGCAGATCCAAGCATGGATCTGTATTCTCCTTCACTGAAGATCTAACCTAAAGATGACAACCTTGCTCTGGACAACAGGTATTTTGTTACATTGTATAATTATGTACAGATATTTTTTTTAAGTGTATAGGAGAAAAACATTATTTATTATTATTTTAAGGGAAATTATTTTCCCATGGACGTCTTCTGAGTTTAGGAGCTAAAACATTTTCATTAGTGTTTTGTTTTTGTTTTTTATTTAAAAAACAGTTTTATTTTTCTGTTGCCATGTGACAGCTGTTCACTGTTTTAAAAGAAGGAGGAAAAGACAGCTTTTATAACAAAACAAATGCAATTCAAAGGACATTTCATTGGTCTACTCTTGTTGAGAGGATGAGTCTATGGCTTTTTACCCTGGAGTTGCTCTGCAGACTCTTGTTGCTTGTGCAGCTGGCCCCAGACTATGGGGATTTAGAGTGCTATTTTAGTGTGCCCAGTCTCTGCTGTACACATGTCAAAGCTTACTTCATTCTGCTGGGTAGGCTCTAACCAGCCTGTGCAACTAGCTTTACAGATTAGCATAACCCAGCTGGGGGTGGGGAGAAATCCTTTGGATATTTTGCATGCTCGCTGTTGTGTGCTGCCATACCCAAAGGGAAGTGAGCAGGGGCATGAGCTTTATGAACCCTGGAGAAAACTAGACTGCATGATCTCACCAGTGTTGTAAAGCCAGAGGAGCTAAAATGGGCCACCCGTGTGGCCCTGTGTTGAGACTGAGTGATTCACTTCTTTCATACTTGTCCTGCTCCGCAGAAACTAGAGAACCTGGAACAATGACATATCAGCTGCCAAATTTACATTTTAACCTTCCTCTCCACACCCCACAAGGCCAGCCCATGCTGTTTTGTTTTTGAGGGGAAGCTGCCATTACCACCACATTACACATCATCCTTTGCCTTCCCCTCCACCTCTATGGGCAATTCTGGAAGTTAGCCTTTATTCTGCTGCCCTGCACCCTGTCTGTGTCAGATGACAGCCAGCGGATTGCTATCATCAGGAGATCCAGTCATTCTCACCTTTCATTGAAATATTCTTCCTCCTCCCAACCACATGGGAGCCACTTACTCACAAGAAGCTCCTGTGTGACTGGAGTAACATTGAAATGACCAAACCATGTGAAGAGGCGATACTTGCTTGCATCTTTCTCGTGGAATGAGCACCATTCCAGGAGCAGGTATAGATTCCGGGAGAAAGACCTACCCAAGCAGCCCTGCTTGGGGATAATGCAGCTCTTACATGGCTGCTTGCAGTGCTTTTTTCTGGGGGTACGCATACCCCTAAACATTTTGTGAATCTAGGTTTGGCCTCATTGAGGGGCAGTATTTCAATATGAGTAGGAAAATGAGAGTACCCCTAAACATTTTTTTTAAGGAAAAAAAGCACTGGTTGGATGAATGTCTAAAAACTACCTATATGGTTTTTTAAAATGTATACTGTGTCCAATAATCTGAAAACCAGATTTCATTAAAAATTGGGTGGGTCTGGGTTTTGTGCCACTAAGAGCTCATATGTAAGCTTGGCTGAATTATATTATTGTGAACAAGTGCAGACTCCTTTATCTGACATATTTGGAGGACATGATTTCCTGTTGAATAAAACAGTGTTTTATTGACAAGTGTTGGTCATTCTTCAGAACTCTTCCCAGCTATAGCAACTGTTCAGGGTGATCTGTTTCTTCTCATGGTCCATTTTCTATAGGGCATAAACTGGGGGGTGGGAATCCCATTGAAAAAGCAAATATGTTGGATGCTGTGGTGATAAACTGAAATGCCAGCGCTGATTTTTGCAGGAGTTTGTAACAAAGCCTCCTAGATTTTATGTCCCTACGTGTGATCTGTGACAAACACCCTAACTCTTCATTTCATAGAAATAACAGGCACCTGTTAAGATACTGTACAGAGGCACTGACTGCACCATTCCCAGTAAGCTCTGTTCATCTCTAAATCATGGTAAAAGGAAATCTAATAAATGCATTTCACAGACAGAAGACTGATGCATATAAAGCAGAAGATCTGAACAGGAGTGCAGAGGAGAGGTCAGACACTTCAATTAGAAGTTGATCAGCCCTGTCTAGAAGATGCAAAGCAATAAATGGATATGTGCTTCTCAAATGCCAGGGGTACAAGCTGATAGAGATTGCCTATCTTATGTGAGAGGTTCAGCTAAGTGACTGCCACAGTTTTTGTGCACCAGGCGGTCAGTCTAATGGTGTGCCATAAAGCAGAATCTTTTTTTGAACTAGTATTTAGGAAGGAAAAGATGAGTAATATAATTCAGTGTTGAAATGCATGCTTTCAAAGCTATTCCTTTAGAGGGGGAATCATATACTTAAAACCTGCCACACTGTACAATTGTCAGAAGTCATGCATATAGAACACAGTTCCAGCAATGTTAACCATATGAAGTCCCAATGTGTGGGGGTGTTGATTTTAAAGGTTCTCTGCAAATGTTTGCACTCACTCCACAGTTGGAGGTGTTGCTGTCTAACCAACCTCCTGCTGTTTGTGCCTTAGATCATGGTGGTGATGGTTAGCTTGTCTTTGGGATCTGGTATTCAGCCTTATACTTTGTTGAAATAGAGGGGTTCCATTTCTCTCTCAATATTAATGGTTGATCATTTAGCATGAACTTGTGTGGGTTGGGATTTTTTGTAAGCTATCAAAGCTAGAGCCATCCTGTGGTAATACATTGCATGAGTTAATTAAGCAATGTACAAAGAGCTTTCTTTTATCAACCTGGAGCTCATTGCCAATCAATTTCATTGAGAGAGCTATAACGTGTAGTCTTAAGAGAAAGCCCATTTAGTCTATCCACTTCCCATCACTATTGATGATTGTTTTCTTCCTTTTAGTTGTCTTTTTCTAAACTGAAAGTACCAACCTCTTTGGCTCTTCTTCATAAGGGTGGTGTCCTCACCGGTGGTAAGTCTAGTCATGGTTTTTTGCATTTTTCCAGTTACAGTTTGTATGCTAGAAGATCATACATGATCCAGCAAAGGAGAGACAGATACAGACACAAAACCAATATGTAAGTTTCTCTAGAGCTAGGACAAAATGTCACTTAAGTTTGGAATACTGTGGACCCTGAGAAACAGGATTGCCAAGAGAGGTTCTTGTAGTTAATGTAGAATGAAACATTACATCTGGTGCTTATTATTATTTATTTCTTTGAATTACCACTTGCTTACTGCACAGTAGACTCTAGTTATAATGCATGAATGAGCCCGAGGCTATTGATAAAAAGTCGGATCAGGCAAAAGCTTTTGATGTGTCCTCCCTTACCCAAATGGAACTGCTTAACTGTAAGAGTGATCAAGAGATAGCACTATGTTTTTTTTATGTACTAGACACAATAAGCATATTTTTAATGCTGCAAGCACAATCCATAAAACAGAACTGTGACAGCAGTCAGGCGTTGGAAAAATTTAGCAGATGCATGGCATTTGTTGAACGTAATTACAATAGAGATAGCAGAAAGCCAAAGATGGCTACAGAATCTTCTTGTGCTTGTAATAGTCATTCTGTAGGAATCTGTGAAAGTGTTTTGATCTGTCAACTTTGCTTAATAGATAGATGAGTCTTTAGCTCATTGACTGTTCCCTTTCTCAACTGATAATTTCCAGGCAGAGTTTAGGAAGATCACACATTTGTCTTGTTAATCCTGAAAAGAACTATTTTTAGTTTCTCCACTGCAAGCCAGAAGAATTACAGGAAGACTGACCAGCCTGAAGGTGGAATACTGGTCATGTTAGCCCCATTAGGGGCATAGATCTGAGTCTCGCACATGTAGCTCGGGACTCAGACAACTGCCAGACAGGTGACAGCTGTGAAGGACACACGGCTGCAAGCTGTGGCATGCTAGGAAGTGCCAAATATGCACCCAAACACACTTTTTATTTAATGGTAAAAACGTACTGTGAGTGTGATGAGACGGGCAGTAAGTACATCCACTTTGGCTCCACAATCCCAAAGGTAGTACCTAGGAGGACTGTGGCGCATATAGCAGGTAGATCTCTTGCTATCTGAGTATCTTCATTCGTCCCAGATCCCTAAAGTTGCCATTTTAGTAGCTGCGCTCACTTCCACTCTCATTTTCAGAAAATATTTAAAATGGCGATGGGCTTCTGCATACTTGCTGCTGGCAGGCACCTTCCCTTGCTGCTCACCTGCTCCAGCTAGCAGACCAGCTACCCATTACCCACAGTAGTGATGGGAGTGGTGAGATGTCAAGTGGTGGCGCTGGCATTTGGGTGAAGATCAACCCCACAACCCTCCTCAAAAGGTAAGAAAGGAAAGAGAAATGGGATGAAGATGGCCATTAGAAGATGGGCAGTAACAACCAGGAAAAGAACAGCTGTAGCAGCATCCACTAAAAGTAAAAGTTATGGGGGGGGGTCTACCAGAAGTGCTAAAGTGGTAGTGCCCCCCCCCAGGTATTTAATCAGGGGCCTCCTGAAACCTGGCACTGCCTCTGAGACCAAATAATGCAACTTTCATTTTTGTTCAGTTTGCTTTCCAGTCACATAGTAAACAAGTTTCATGTCTGGCCTCTGTGACCCAGGAAGTTGTGGCTCCAATCTTGCTACATAATGAAAGAAGGGAAGGCACCAGCACAGAACAAAGACCTCAAAAGGTACAGTGCAAACAATGGAAAGGCCCAACATGTCCACAGGGCATCTGAGCGTGTTAGAACAATTCTGTGGACGCTGGGTTAAGAGTCTTCTCAGATCACCTTTGAAGTCTGCTGTATTTCAAATCTTCATGTTCTTAGTTTGTTATCCCTCACTTCCAGCAGAATGAATCATAGAATCATAGAATCATAGAGTTGGAAGAGACCACAAGGGCCATCGAGTCCAACCCCCTGCCAAGCAGGAAACACCATCAGAGCACTCCTGACATATGGTTGTCAAGCCTCTGCTTAAAGACCTCCAAAGAAGGAGACTCCACCACACTCCTTGGCAGCAAATTCCACTGTCGAACAGCTCTTACTGTCAGGAAGTTCTTCCTAATGTTTAGGTGGAATCTTCTTTCTTGTAGTTTGGATCCATTGCTCCGTGTCCGCTTCTCTGGAGCAGCAGAAAACAGCCTTTCTCCCTCCTCTATGTGACATCCTTTTATATATTTGTACATGGCTATCATATCACCCCGTAACCTCCTCTTCTCCAGGCTAAACATGCCCAGCTCCCTTAGCCGTTCCTCATAAGGCATCGTTTCCAGGCCTTTGACCATTTTGGTTGCCCTCCTCTGGACACGTTCGAGTTTGAGCCTAACAATATTATGCGTACAGAGTCAGGAACCTAGGAAGCTGCATTGCACCAGATATTTGTTTTTCTAGCCCAGTACAGTAATACCTCCGCAAACATCCACCTCGTCTAGCGTCCATTCCAGTGAATGTCTGCTGCAAACCCGGAAGTACTGGAACAGGTTACTTCCGGGTTTGCTGCTCGTGCATGCACAGAAGCGCAAACCGCTCCGCGCACGTGTGCAGACATGGCGCTTTTCCCTGCGTCCTTTTCGGCTAGCGGCCAGGTCTCCAGAACAGATCCCAGCCACAAAACAAGGTACAACTGTACTGTCTGCTCTTAACTGTTAGCAGCTTTCTGGGGGCTTAGATAGGGGTCATTCCCATCACTTGCGATCTGATTTTTAAATTTGTATTGTGAGGGCCTGTCTAAATAAGGCAGTTTTTCATAAGATGGCTAAAGGAAGTCAGGGAGTATTCCTGCTGAACCTCTACTGGTAGGTATTTCCATAGAACAGGGCCTGCCATACCAAAGGCTCTGCCCCCAGTGAAGGCCAGCCATATGACAGGTGACCACCAGAAGTGTCCCATCAGCAGATATCAGGGCTTGTTCACACTTCTGCTTATCCCATGCATAGAAAGCATTGGTCCGAGAGGTTTTTCATTTGCCCCATGCTTTCTAGGCATGGTTGAGCTCTAAGTGATAAAAATGAAGCATAAGGAGTCAGGTGGAACTTTAAGGAACTTTGGCCCTGAGACTCTTAATACTGGTCATCTGCCCTGCAACATCAAACAGCCCCACGCTTCTCTTTTAACCATGAGAACCAGCTTGGGGACATTCAAAGAGCAGTATAGGGCTGTTTGCAAAAGGGCTTTCAAACAGCCCAGCGCTTTGAAGTCCAAGGGGTTTCAAAGCACAGCAGATCTGTCAGATTTGGTCCTCCAGGGCTGGGGAGATAAGGATCTAGAAAAAGCTTCCCCTCTGCTGAGAAAGTCCATTTATATAACACAGCCAACACTACCATCCGATGTACTGTGATGGGTAGTAGATTTTGGGTGGCATTGAATGGAGACAAGATGTCAATTACTGAATGTACTGAAAATCTTTTGCAGTGTGGGAGTAGGACATTGCAAAGGAAAGGGTTTGTTTGGTCCTTCTACTCACCCTCCTTGGTTCCATGGAGCTGGGGCCACCCCTTTGAACACTGGGCCTGCCATGTGAAGAGCTGCCATGTGAATTTGGAAGGAAACTGAGCTGGGAGCACATGAATGGGAGGGCTGCCTAATGGCACACAATCTCCTCCCAGGCCAATTCCCTCTCCCTCTGTAATGCCATAATCTGCTGTGCGTGTTCCTGCTACAGCTAAATAGACCATTGGAAGGCAAACAGACTGGAAAGAGGCACCCCTGAGGCCAGTTCATACATCCTTGCTGTCTGCCTTTCAGTCACTCCGCATTTGAGAGTTTAGAGTTAGAGGTTTCACAATCTATCGGTGGTGGAAAAGACTGGCTGATAACACCACAGCTCTGCCAGCCTTGCTGTGATTTTCCTAATAACAGTTTCTGGAGAGATGGGGAATTTTAGGTTGTATTTTTCCCCAAATGCAGGATTTATCTTACCTGCCCACTCAGCTCTCTGATGATACATCTCCTACCAGTGACGTGGTTCTGCTGCGCTT